CCTGGACACGCCATGGACCAGTGACACGCCTGGAAACACCAAGGACCAGTGACACGCCTGGACACGCCACGCCGTGTCACTGGTCCATGACGTGTCCGGGCGTGTCACTGGTCCATGACGTGTACGGGCGTGTCACTGGTCCATGACGTGTCCGGGCGTGTCACTGGTCCATGGCGTGTCCAGGCGTGTCACTGGTCCATGGCGTGTCCAGGCGTGTCACTGGTCCATGGCGTGTCCAGGCGGTCACTGGTCCATGACGTGTCCAGGCGTGTCACTGGTCCATGGCGTGTCCGGGCGTGTCACAGGTCCATGACGTGTCTGGGCGTGTCACTGGTCCATGGCATGTCCAGGCGTGTCACTGGTCCATGGCGTGTCCAGGCGTGTCACTGCTCCGTGACGTGTCCACGGCGTGTCACTGGTCCATGGCGTGTCACTGGTCCATGGCGTGTCTAGGCGTGTCATGGGCCATGACGTGTTTGGGTGTGAGCAGCCTGGACACGCCATGGACCAGTGACACGTCATGGACCAGTGACACGCCACGGACCAATGACAAGCCCGAACACGCCATGGACCAGTGACACGCCATGGACCAATGACACGTCTGGACACGCCATGGACCAGTGACACGCCATGGACACTTCATGGACCAGTGACACGCCATGGACCAGTGACACACCTTAGACCAGTGTCACACCTGGACACGCCTTAGACCAGTGACACACCTGGACACGCCTTAGACCAGTGACACACCTGGACACGCCTTAGACCAGTGACACACCTGGACACGCCTTAGACCAGTGTCACACCTGGACACGCCTTAGACCAGTGACACACCTGGACACGCCTTAGACCAGTGACACACCTGGACACGCCTTAGACCAGTGACACACCTGGTGGGGAAGTGATTAGGAGTGGGCAAAATATATCGTAGACAATAATATCGTGAAAGCCAATTTGAAGATATGCTTTATCTTTTTTATTTTCCAATACATATTACAATTAGAGAAGGAAATATGCCCATTGGTCTAATGTGTGCCTAAAAAGCCAATCACTGCTTTATTTGTACATTTAAGTAAATATTGAGCCTTTTTGGATGTGTTTTTTCTGTGTTTCTTGAATCTGATTTTTAATGTTAATATATGTTAGTGCATGTTTTGCAAAGATGTGTGTAGCACTTCAGAAAATAAAAAGCTTCATTTTTGATCTACACTGTCTCTTATCTATAGATGCCATGGCAAGCAAAACATTGCAGATCATTTTGTGTAACCATTTTTGATTTTAAAGATATCGTGACAATGTCGTTATCGGGAGTTGGGTATAAAGTATCAAGATATTTATTTTTGTCCATATCGCCCACCCCTAGATGTGATGCATGCTTGCAGATTGGCAGTTGAGTTCTGGTGGATACAGATATAGTTTGTGTGTGATTGACACGTCTCTATTGGTAAGAGGCAGTTATGTCTGTAAACCTTTTGTTGCTTGATCTCATTTTCTTTTAGAATGGAGTGATTATAGATGTACCATCTATTTAAGTGCAGGATAGAGACGGTGAAGCCAGTTGAAACTAGGAATAACTGGAATTCAGTGAAGGTATCAAGGGAATACATGACAAAGTTTGGCAGTAGACTGAAGAATAAGCTCTACACGTGTTTGCAGAGACAATTCAAACTCTTAAAAAAGCAATCCTCCATAGATTATTGATTATTATAATGATGTGCCTCAGTCTCTTTGGCCTCATTATCCATGTGTCCTTTCAGAACAGGTTATCCACAGTGTATGTGTGTGCGGACCAGGCCTCACAGACCATGTGTCCTTTCAAACCAGGTTATACACAGTGTATGTGTGTGTTGACCTGGCCTTACACACCATGTGTCCTTTCAGAACAGGTTTTCCACAGTGTATGTGTGTGCGGACCAGGCCTCACAGACCATGTGTCCTTTCAAACCAGGTTATACACAGTGTATGTGTGTGTTGACCTGTCCTTACACACCATGTGTCCTTTCAGAACAGGTTTTCCAGTGTATGTGTGTGCGGACCAGGCCTCACAGACCATGTGTCTTTTCAAACCAGGTTATACACAGTGTATGTGTGTGCGGACCAGGCCTCACAGACCATGTGTCCTTTCAAACCAGGTTATACATAGTGTGTGTGTGTATGATGACATCACTGACCTTGTAAACCACACTGTCCTTATAGACCGTGTTTTTGAAAAGTCTTTACAAACCCCTGAAAAGTCTTGAAAACAGTCATTTTTTATATCTCAGTGCAGCAAAGGAAATCTTTAAATTTTAAGCCGTGTATAGGTTCTGTGATTTTTTTCATGATCATTGATATGATTTTTGAGGCTCTAGCACCACGGGAACCCAGTGTCCCCGTATACCTATGTAGTCTGGTTTAAAGGGATTTTAGAAAAAATGTCCTTACAACGTCTCAAACGGGTGTGTGTGTGTGTGTGTGTGTGTGTGTGTGTGTGTGTGTGTATATAAACAGTTTGAGCATTTACAAAATCCGGGTCTACAGTGTGTGACCTGATCCAAGGTGCAGACTGACTGAAAGTAGTTGTGCAGCATGGATCAAGTTATGCTCCCCCTCAACCCTGATTAGCATTTGTATAGCTCACAGCATTCCCATTTACATGTTAAAGCCTCCTGTGGAGGAGGGAGGAGGGGACAACAAACTGCCGAATCCCAGAAGTTTCACAGTAATATACAGGGCCGAAAAGAGACGAAAATCACACTTTTCATGCAGTGCATTTTCATCAGATTTTGTGGTGATTATTTTCCCTTGAAATGTATTAAAAAGAATTGCCACCCCAGCTGATCTTGATGTACCATGTGAGAATACAATTTTGTCTCCCCATTGAGTTGTCCAAAATTGTTCATCTGTTGCATTTGAATGAGTTTCCTGCATTAAAAAACATCGCGCTTGTCTTTTTTTACAGTACAAGAATAAAGCCTCTCTCTTAACACTATCCCTTAGACCTCGAGTATTAATGGTTAATAGTTTCAAGTTGCATTTCAGTAACACTGACATTCACACACACATTCACACAGACAGATTAACGGTAATAAGAAATAAGTAGCTTTTTACCTTTTAAGTAACAAGAACTTCTGGCAGGTCCCTATGAACGTGAGCATTTTGCCCTTATTCCTGGACAAAGCGGACTCCACGCTCCTTGCAGATTGGTGAATCTTTGGTTGATTTCCACAGCGCATCTCGATGAATTCTTCTCACAAACTGCATGATGACCTGACGGCTGCGCCCGATTTCTTTTCTTCCAACGCGGTGCACGGAGTCGACCACATTTCCAATGTTGTCAGCCCACTGCGGAAGATTTTCAGCAGAAGCTCCTCAGCAGTAGCTCAGTTGGTAGAGCATTGGCCTTAAGGCCAGAAGGTCGTGGGTTTAATTCCCACCTCTGCACCTTCTCCACCGACTCCCACTGATGACTGCTGTCGTTGTGTCCTTGGGCAAGACACTTAACCCCACTTTGCCCAGAGCCCCCACTGAAAGATCAAGGCTATGCTCACACTCAGAGAGCAGCCGTCCTCCTGTGGACTCACCACCTGCAGAGGAAATGGATGGATGGATGGATGGGTTTTCACCTTCCTGCTCTTTAAGGCCGGAGAGGCGAAGGTTCCAGCGGCGTTTATAACGCTCAACATCCAGCACTTTTTCTTTGAGATTAGCGTTTTCTTTTCTCAGGTCATTGCAGTCTTTTTCCAGAGTGTCAACTCTCGAGAGACAGGCTGCCACCGCCTTCCCATTTTCCTCAACGCGTTGAATTAGCTCAGTGAACATATTTGACTGGTCCCTCAGAGTCTCACTGAAACTGTCCACTTTCATGAGGATTTTCACCATATCTCTAAATGAGTACTCCGTGCTTTCAACTACTACCTCGTTGCAGGGTGTTGTTTCAGTATTTTGAGCCAACTTCTTAGCAGGTGGAAGTTTGGTGGGAGTCGTGTTTAGCGGCCATCTTAGCTTGCCTGCTTTAGTGGTGTCCATCGGGGTGACATCGCCCGGGGCTGCGGTGGGAGAGTAGCTGTGGAAAGCTAACGAGTTTCCCGCTCTTCCGTTTATCTTGTCTTTTATCGCAGACATCGTTTTTTCCTTGTTCCCCCATTCACAGTTGAGTTAGCAACTATGCTCACTGAATAAACAGTCGTAGTGGTGTTCCAAAAGGGCAGTTGTTAAGTGGTTTGGACCAAAAACGAACGGAGCTCAAAAGTTTGCTCGTGCCCTGTCCGCCATCTTCCTGCCTTCCCGTCTACGCCATAGACTGACTTCCGCTAATCTTTCAGCCCCCATGCCGTCACAAAGCGCCACTGAGCACAACAATTCATTTGAATAGGGCGCCATCTTGGATTGCCGGGGCTTGTAAGAGACACACGGAGCACACAAAATACTAAATAAGTAGTAGCTGTTCCTTAGCTGTAGATGCTTCAATACCAGTAAATATATATATATATATTTAAAAAATGTCATCAGCAGTTTGTGTTTGTGTGTTTGTGTCTGTGTGTGTTTGTGTCTGTGTGTGTGTTTGTGTGTGTCTGTTTGTGTGTGAGTGTGTGTGTGTGTGTGTTTCCTCACATCAAAAGAAAAATGACACTTTATTTATTTATTCGTATCATAAAGTTAAAGTCACAAACAGAAGAAACAAAACTGAACTGAACGAGTCGTCCACAGAGTCATCAGTAGGTCAACAGTGGGTCATCAGCAGTAGGTCAACAGTAGGTCATCAGCAGTAGGTCAGCAGCAGTAGGTCATCTGTAGAGTGTACAGAATTGGTTTGAATGGGAGCAGTCAAAATGACGGCTCTGGGACTCCTCGTTCAGTGTGGATTTAAATAATAAAACAAACGGATGTAGAACCATGAGGCTCTCAGCAGGACGGTCACTGCTGCTTCCTCTTCCTGCTGCGATACATGAGGCTCTCAGCAGGACGGTCACTGCTGCTTCCTCTTCCTGCTGCGATACATGAGGCTCTCAGCAGGAGGGTCACTGCTGCTTCCTCTTCCTGCTGCGATATCGTCTCCTCCGCTGTTTGTACAAGTGACGGAAGTTTATGAAGAGACCTGAGGAAACACCAGAGGTTTGACATCACAATCATGACATCATTCATCATCCTGCTTTGTTCATGACATCATCCTGCTGTGTTGATGACATCATCCTGCTGTGTGCATGACATCATCCTGCTGTGTGCATGACATCATCCTGCTGTGTGCATGACATCATCCTGCTGTGTTCATGACATCATCCTGGGAAGGAATTAAGGAAGCAGACACTGTCTCTACATTTAAGGCCAGGCTTAAAACACTCTACTTTAATTTAGCATTTGGTTAGGTTGTTTGTCCGGTCCTCCTTCCTACTTTATCTGTTTTGCATTTTTAGGATTTTGACTGTAGTTTGTTCATTGCTATTCACCCATTGTCCCATTGTCTGTTTCATGGTACGACGACGGGATCTCTGAGTCTGGCTTCCTCCATCTACACCTGCGGACTGCCCTGCCCGACCTGCCTGGGAGTGCTTCAGTCCTGCTCCGGACCTGTCCACGTTCAGCGGCCACTGGTCCACGTTCTGTAGCTAGCTTAGGTCCTGGATCTACAGCCTGTCTGTTCGGAGGAGCGGATCCCTTTCTCAAACTATGGGTCTCCCCGAGGTTTCTCACTTTTTTCCCACTGGGTTTTTGTGAGTTTTTCCTCTGATGCAGGAGGGTCTGTTGGACAGTTAGTGTCCAACTAGAAGGACTGTGGTGATGATCAGGACACTTTAACATTCTACAACATGTATGGACATTTATCAACATGTGTTCTATATTCTTTTTGTGTTTTAACTGTTGATTCTCTGACTTGTGTTGGTGATTTCAATGGTTTTGTTAAGTCTCTGAGATGTCTTCTGTTGTGATTTAGGGCTATACAAGAATAAATTGTATTGTATTGTATGACATCATGGTGCTGTGTTGATGACATCATGGTGCTGTGTTGATGACATCATGGTGCTGTGTTCACATTTACCCAGAAACATGAGGATGAGGTAGAGTCTCAGTGAGTAGGAGAAGCTCAAAGAACCTCCGACGAACGCAGGAAGTGGAAGAGCAAACATCTGAGTCTGATCAAAGACAGAGAGAGACTGGACCACGGCGACCGCTGCGGACACAGAGACACAGAGGGTTACAGAGCGTGAGTGTGACATCACAAGGGAGAGAGGAGAGAGTGTGACATCACAAGGGAGAGCGCAGAGAGTGTGACATCACAAGGGAGAGAGGAGAGAGTGTGACATCACAAGGGAGAGAGCAGAGAGTGTGACATCACTAGGGAGAGAGCAGAGAGTGTGACATCACTAGGGAGAGAGTAGAGAGTGTGACATCACAAGGGAGAGAGGAGAGAGTGTGACATCACTAGGGAGAGAGCAGAGAGTGTGACATCACAAGGGAGAGAGGAGAGAGTGTGACATCACTAGGGAGAGAGACCTTCAGCGATGGTTCCCAGAGGGTACAGAGGGATCCACAGAGTGTAGCGCAGCCACGTCAGCAACTTCCACTCCGAGCCCATACAGCCGAGCATGTAGAAGGGGTACCTGCGACACACACAGAGACACACACACATACACACAGAGACGCACACACACACACACACACACACACACACAGACGCACACATGCAGACACACAGACACACACACACACAGTATCTGATGAAGAGTATGTGATGAAGAGTATCTGATGAAGAGTATGTGATGAAGAGTATCTGATGAAGAGTATGTGATGAGTATCTGATGAAGAGTATGTGATGAAGAGTAACTGATGAAGAGTATCTGATGAAGAGTATCTGATGAAGAGTATGTGATGAAGAGTATCTGATGAAGAGTATGTGATGAAGAGTAACTGATGAAGAGTATGTGATGAGAATCTGATGAAGAGTATGAGATGAAGAGTAACTGATGAAGAGTATGTGATGAAGAGTAACTGATGAGTATCTGATGAAGAGTATGTGATGAGTATGTGATGAAGAGTAACTGATGAAGAGTATGTGATGAAGAGTAACTGATGAAGAGTATCTGATGAGTATCTGATGAAGAGTATGTGATGAAGAGTATGTGATGAGTATGTGATGAAGAGTATCTGATGAAGAGTATGTGATGAAGAGTATGTGATGAGTATGTGATGAAGAGTAACTGATGAAGAGTATCTGATGAAGAGTATGTGATGAAGAGTAACTGATGAAGAGTATGTGATGAGAATCTGATGAAGAGTAACTGATGAAGAGTATGTGATGAGTATCTGATGAAGAGTATGTGATGAGTATCTGATGAAGAGTAACTGATGAAGAGTATCTGATGAAGAGTATGTGATGAGTATCTGATGAAGAGTATGTGATGAAGAGTAACTGATGAAGAGTATGTGATGAAGAGTATCTGATGAAGAGTATGTGATGAAGAGTAACTGATGAAGAGTATGTGATGAGAATCTGATGAAGAGTATGAGATGAAGAGTAACTGATGAAGAGTATCTGATGAAGAGTATGTGATGAGTATGTGATGAAGAGTAACTGATGAAGAGTATCTGATGAGTATCTGATGAGTATGTGATGAAGAGTAACTGATGAAGAGTATCTGATGAGTATCTGATGAAGAGTATGTGATGAGTATGTGATGAAGAGTATCTGATGAGTATCTGATGAAGAGTATGTGATGAAGAGTATGTGATGAGTATGTGATGAAGAGTAACTGATGAAGAGTATCTGATGAAGAGTAACTGATGAAGAGTATGTGATGAGAATCTGATGAAGAGTAACTGATGAAGAGTATGTGATGAGTATCTGATGAAGAGTATGTGATGAGTATCTGATGAAGAGTAACTGATGAAGAGTATCTGATGAAGAGTATGTGATGAAGAGTAACTGATGAGTATGTGATGAAGAGTATCTGATGAAGAGTATGTGATGAGAATCTGATGAAGAGTAACTAATGAAGAGTATGTGATGAAGAGTATGTGATGAAGAGTATGATGAAGAGTATGATGAAGACCAGTGGACTCACTCCTTCACTGTATCCAACAGATCAGTGAGTGGATGCAAAACAACTTCCTTCAGCTAAACGCAGACAAAACTGAAATGATTTTCTTTGGTCCCCAGAAACAAAGAGAGAGCGTCATCTGTCACCTAGAGTCTCTCTCCCTAAAACCTTCAAACAAGGTCAGAAATCTAGGGGTAATACTGGACTCAGACTTAAATTTTAATAGCCACATTAAATCAGTAACATCAGCAGCTTTTTACCATCTAAAAAACATTGCCAGGATCAAAAACATAGTGTCTAAAGCAGACTTGGAGATTCTTATCCATGCATTTGTCTCCAGTAGGTTAGACTACTGTAATGGCCTGCTCACAGGTCTGTCCAAACAGGCTGTAAAACAGCTGCAGTACATTCAAAATGCAGCAGCTCGAGTCCTGACTAGAACCAGGAAGTACGACCACATTAGTCCAGTTCTCAGGTCTCTGCACTGGCTTCCTGTGGCTCAGAGAATAGACTTTAAAACAGCTCTGCTTGTGTACAAATCTCTCCATGGCCTCGCACCAAAATATATTAGTGACATGTTAGTCCCATATGAACCAGCCCGGACTTTGAGGAGCACAGGGACTGGACTCCTGTTAGTGCCCAGAGTCAGAACTAAACATGGGGAGGCTGCTTTTCAGATTCATGCTGCTAAAATCTGGAACAGTCTTCCTGAAGATGTGAGACAGGCCTCCTCTCTGACAATGTTTAAAACCAGGTTAAATACAGTTCTGTTTAACTGTGCATACAACTGAGGGATTATATATTTTTATCTTTCTTTTTAATGTTCTATGTTGTATGATTATTTATGATTTTAATGCTTTCTTGTTTTGTTCAGCACTTTGAATTGCCTTGTGTATGAATTGTGCTATATAAATAAACTTGCCTTGCCTTGCCTTGCCTATGAGATGAAGAGTAACTGATGAAGAGTATCTGATGAAGAGTATGTGATGAGTATCTGATGAAGAGTAACTGATGAAGAGTAACTGATGAAGAGTATGTGATGAAGAGTAACTGATGAAGAGTATCTGATGAGTATCTGATGGAGAGTAACTGATGAAGAGTATCTGATGAAGAGTATGTGATGAGTATCTGATGAAGAGTAACTGATGAAGGGTATCTGATGAAGAGTAACTAATGAAGAGTATGTGATGAAGAGTAACTGATGAAGAGTAACTGATGAAGAGTAACTGATGAAGGGTATCTGATGAAGAGTAACTAATGAAGAGTATGAGATGAAGAGTAACTGATGAAGAGTATCTGATGAAGAGTAACTGATGAAGAGGAGCAGAACCTGAAGATCTCAATCCAGCTCCAGATGTAGAAGACGAAGAAGACCACGGCCTTGTTCTGCATCTCCTCCACGGCGCCGAAGACGACGAAGAGGATCATGTTCCGCCCACTCACCTGCAACACGCCACATTAAAGATCCCATAGTATTACTTATTAAAGGTCCTATATAGGGACGTAAATCGGTGACCGTTTAACCGGTGGTCGACCGTCACAGCGTTAACCGTCACAGAGTTAACCGTCACAGAGTTAACCGTCACAGAGTTAACCGTCACAGAGTTAACCGTCACAGAGTTAACCGTCACAGAGTTAACCGTCACAGAGTTAACCGTCACAGCGTTAACCGTCACAGAGTTAACAGTCACAGCGTTAACCGTCACAGAGTTAACCGTCACAGCGTTAACCGTCACAGAGTTAACCGTCACAGAGTTAACCGTCACAGCGTTAACCGTCACAGCGTTAACCGTCACAGAGTTAACCGTCACAGAGTTAACCGTCACAGCGTTAACCGTCACAGAGTTAACCGTCACAGCGTTAACCGTCACAGAGTTAACCGTCACAGAGTTAACCGTCACAGCGTTAACCGTCACAGAGTTAACCGTCACAGCGTTAACCGTCACAGCGTTAACCGTCACAGCGTTAACCGTCACAGAGTTAACCGTCACAGCGTTAACCGGTCAAAGCTGTCGGTTAAAAAAGCTGTGTGCGCCAATGTATCAGTAAATTCCGGGCCGACTCTCACGCCGCACGCGCCACATATGCACGCACACTTTCGATACGTAACATCCACACGCATCATCTCTCCCCTCTGTTACCGTCTGCTAGTTACACACTGGTGCAGGTCAGAACTACATTGGAGCTTATATTTACACACACACACGTATTGTACACACACATACACATACATACAGAGCTGCACTTATGAGAAGTACGCGGCTCGAAATGGCTGTTATTTCAAAGAACATGGAATATTTTAAACTACGCGGTTAACCGGTTTCAACCGGTTAATGAGGCTCGGTGGTCAGTCATGAAAAATCATAGTTTTTTACATCCCTAGTCCCATAGTACTACTTATCAAAGGTCCTATAGTGGAGAAGGTCTCGTGGTGGGCTCGAACCCACAACCTTCAGGCTCAAAGGCCAGTGCTCTACCGAGTCACCCGTCGCCCCTGTTCCTGTTTCCCTCTGTGGGAGGTGCACCAGGAGGAGCAGGAGGACCATGTAAATCCTCCAGCTGTGGTCCTGACCCAGACCATCAACATCTGCAGATGGTTCTGTTACTACGGCGACCACTGCTCCTGATGTCAGCCTTAGAGCATCAGGGTCTGCTGCTCCTCCTGCTCCTCCTCCCACAGGGGGTCTGTCTGGGACTGGGGTCTGTACCTGGAGCAGTGCCGGGATGAATCCGGTCCGGACCAGTCCCAGCAGGGGGTTGAGCACCTCCAGCACGGCCATCATCTGACAGAAGTACATCATGTCTGCGGTGGAGTGGAAGGTGTCGTAGAACGAGTCTGAAAAACAACTGCTTTGAGGAACAGTCTTCCTGAAAATGTGAGGCTTCTACTCGACAAAAAATTATATTTTATATTAAAACTGGACTAGTGTATGAACTGTGCTATACAAATAAACTGGACTTATCTCACACTGCATCTGTGTGAATGAGATCTGAGGACTGGGACCCAACTGGTCTCTACCCTAAACCCTAACTGGTCTCTACCCTAACTAGTCTCTACCCCAAACCCTAACTAGTCTCTACCCTAGCTAGTCTCCACCCTAAACCATAACTGGTCTCTACCCAAACCCATCCGCAGAGATGAGACCCTGTGGTCCTGGTCCAAACCCCTCTGACTCCAACACAGTTTTTAACAGTAAACAGAAGCGGGAACAAAAGGCAGCCCTGAGGGAGGCCCTCGTGCACTATGGAAGGGAGGCCCTCGTGCACTATGGGAGGGAGGCCCTCGTGCACTATGGAAGGGAGGCCCTCGTGCACTATGGGAGGGAGGCCCTCGTGCACTATGGGACCTCAGAGATGAGTCAGACCTTGTCCGAGGATGAAGAGGCGCACGCTCATGTTGACGAAGATCCAAGAGAACCCCAGGAACTGCACCAAGTTATACATGAACAGGTACCCACGCTTCACCGCCAGGAACGCTGTGGACACACAACAACATCAGCTGTGGACACACAACAACATCAGCTGTGGACACACAACAACATCAGCTGTGGACACACAACAACATCAGCTGTGGACACACAATAGCATCAGCTGTGGACACACAACAACATCAGCTGTGGACACACAACAACATCAGCTGTGGAGGTCCTGGTGAGGTCCTGGGCTGTGAGGGGTTTGTAAGGGATAATGTATCGTACACAGGGCTCCGCTGCGCGTCTGGGTCCGCTTCGCCCTGTCGGTACTTCTTTTCCGATAATGACCTGAATACTGTACATTATCCCGCTTATTATACGGCTTTGTACCAACAGAACACACAAAATAAACTTCAGTCCATTCTTAGGAATGCCAAAAGGTTTATTTAATGACAGAAAATAAAATAGTTCCCAAAGGCTTTCCCGTGGCTACTAGCTAGGAGTTGCTAGCCTAGCTGTCAAACTAGAACTCTCTGGAACTGCATGAAAACTGAACAAAGAATTGTGCCCAAACATAAACTTAACCTAAATCCATTATTTGATCTTCTGCAAATGTTCCTAAAATGTCCCTGAATCTACTTCCGGGTTTTTCGCGATCGCTTTTTCTCGCGTTAAAATAGTTTTTTTGTCATGAAAACGTTAACAGAAAATTCTGAAATCCTCCGTGCACGTGTGTTAAGACTGTATATGTCTAGTGTATTCTCCGATTAACATTTAAGTGTGTTGATTGAGCGTGGCTAGCTCCGGAGCGGCCGGAACCACTTGCGGAGCGATCTAAGATGAATTATAAGCAGAGAGTGCGTTGCCAAAGGGCAGCGGCCATTATTGTTTTGAGAGGTCCGTTATAAGAAATAATGACCGGTAGAACGTTTTGAAATTACATTCTCCTGCTGCTGTGAGGAGCGTGTGATAAATTATAATAACTCAGAACAAACATGACAGAGATGATAAATGAAGAGACTTCTGTTTGAACCATGTTTCAACAGGAGGAGGAGAGACCACAAGTGCACACGCCTGTGCGTGTTCTCGTGCACACGCCCTAACCCAGGTTAATGCTAACCCATGCTAGCCCTAACCCAGGCTAACCCTAACCCAGGCTAATCCTAACCCAGGCTAACGCTAACCCAGGCTAACCCTAACCCAGGATAATCCTAACCCAGGCTAATCCTAACCCAGGCTAATCCTAACCCAGGCTAACTCTAACCCAGGCTAACTCTAACCCAGGCTAACTATAACCCAGGCTAACCCTAACCCAGGCTAACCCTAACCCAGGCTAACCCTAACCCAGGCTAACCCTAACCCAGGCTAACCCTAACCCAGGCACGAGAACACTACAGGCGTGTGCACGAGAACACGCACAGGCGTGTGCACTTGCGGTAAAAACCATCAGACTCTTGTGGATGTCCCTGGAGTCTGTGGGTCTGGTTCCAAACGGCCCTAGCCCTGGCCTTGGCCCCGGGACCTGGCCCTGGACCTGTTCCTGGCCCTGGCTCTGGACTTGGCCCTGTCCCTGGCCCTGGCCCTGGCTCTGGCTCTGGCCCTGTCCCTCCTCTACCGTCACCACCTCAGACTTTCATAAACTTCACATTATTTCAAAGAAGTGAAAGAAAAACTCACGGTCTTTGCGGACTCTGGACTCCACACTGATGCTGCTGATCCTCTCCTCCTCCTGGAACAGGATGAGACGGACAGAATGGATCAGAACGGATGAGAACGGATCAGAACGGTTCAGTACAGATCAGTACGGATCAGAACGGTTCAGTACGGATCAGAACGGTTCAGTACGGATCAGAACGGATCAGAACGGTTCAGTACGGATCAGAACGGATCAGAACGGTTCAGAACAGTTCAACTGAACTGAGGGATTTTATATTTTATCTTTCTTTTTAATGTTCTGTGATTATTTATGATTTTAATGCTTTCTTTTTTTGTTCAGCACTTTGAATTGCCTTGTGTATGAATTGTGCTATATAAATAAACTTGCCTTGCCTTCTGTGAGCTGATCTGATATCGTTCACTAACATGCTAACCTGCTAACAGTTTGATCCATCGTTTCCTGTTTTATGTCTGCATTTGTCCTGTTCACACTGGGGACTTGTGGGTGTATTCCAATGGGGTTTTACTGCATTGGCAAACACACTGAATCTAACTGTGATGGTCTGGTGTACCGTGTGTATGTGTGTGTGTATGTGTGTACCGTGTGTGTGTGTGTGTGTGTGTGTGTGTGTGTGTGTAGCAGACCTTCTTCTTCAGCTCCATCTCTGCGTCGCTCTCGTCGATCCAACGATCAAAGTCTGGAGCCAGAAACAGAGGCTTCTTCGGCTGCAGCGTCAGTCTGTCCCACCACCCGCCCTCCTGCTTCAGCAGCTTCAGGTCCACCTGCCTCTGGCTGGACCTCTGGACCACCTGGTGCAGACTGGAGGTTAGGGACCAGGGAGACCAGGGAGACCAGGGAGAGACCAGAGAGAGACCAGAGAGAGACCAGAGAGAGACCAGAGAGAGACCAGAGAGAGACCAGAGAGAGAGACCAGAGAGACCAGAGAGAGACCAGAGAGAGACCAAAGAGAGACCAGAGAGAGACCAGAGAGAGACCAGAGAGAGACCAGAGAGAGACCAGAGAGAGAGACCAGAGAGAGACCAGAGAGAGACCAGAGAGAGACCAGAGAGAGACCAAGGAGAGACCAGAGAGAGAGACCAGAGAGACCAGAGAGAGACCAAAGAGAGACCAGAGAGAGAGACCAGAGAGACCAGAGAGAGACCAGAGAGAGACCAAAGAGAGACCAGAGAGAGACCAGAGAGAGAGACCAGAGAGAGAGAGACCAGAGAGAGACCAGAGAGAGAGACCAGAGAGAGAGACCAGAGAGAGAGACCAGAGAGAGAGACCAGAGAGAGACCAGAGAGAGACCAGAGAGAGACCAAAGAGAGACCAAAGAGAGACCAGCGAGAGACCAGAGACCAGAGAGAGACCAAAGAGAGACCAGAGAGAGACCAGAGAGAGACCAGAGAGAGACCAGAGACCAGAGAGAGACCAAAGAGAGACCAGAGAGAGACCAGAGAGAGACCAGAGAGAGACCAGAGAGAGACCAGAGAGAGACCAGAGAGAGAGACCAGAGAGAGACCAGAGAGAGACCAGAGAGAGACCAGAGAGAGAGACCAGAGAGAGACCAGAGAGAGAGACCAGAGAGAGAGACCAGAGAGAGAGACCAGAGAGAGAGACCAGAGAGAGACCAGAGAGAGACCAGAGAGAGACCAGAGAGAGACCAGAGAGAGACCAGAGAGAGACCAGAGAGAGACCAGAGAGAGAGACCAGAGAGAGAGACCAGAGAGAGACCAGAGACTGAGTTGCACTGTTCGGCCCTAGAGCCTTTAGAATGTAAGTATTTATTTGAATCATGTACAACATACATGTATATTTACAAACTAACAAATATGTTTGAAATAAATACATAAAATACAATTCTCTGATCCAAAAACCAGACCATAAACAACAGGATTCACACAGACTGATACGGACACACACAGACACACACAGACAGACACAGACTGATACGGACACACACAGACACACACAGACATACAGGATTCCACTGATCCATATTTATATATTCTTTAATTGATACTTTCAGAATTCTTTCTTTAATGAGTCCAAATATCAGTCCAGTTTACAACTGACAGAAACTATAGTGATATAAGATGTGGCAAGCTCATAGAGACTTATCTAAAGCGACTTGGAGCTGTGGTTGCCGTAAAAGGTGGCTCTACAAAGTATTGACTTTAGGGGGGTGAATAGTTATGCACATAGACCTTTTCTGATATTTTGTCCTATTTGTTGTTTTCTTAACAATAAAAAAGACATCTTCAAAGTTGTGGCATGTTCTGTAAATTAACTGATGCAAATCCTCAAACAATCAAACAATTAATTCCAACAAAATGCCAAGGGGGTGAATACTTTTGCAAGGCACTGTAGTTCTTACATTAAATCATCTTGACAAAAGATTGGCTCTGTAGAGCTACTGTTCTCGCTACGCTTCTCTTCGCATCTGTGCCGACGCCACAGCATCGCTGGCAAAGCAGAAGAGTCACCCGAGGGAACAGCATCCAAACACAGTAACTGAGGTGTGTGAGGGTTCTTTTCACAAAACACATGGCTGGGTCGGAAAGGGCGTTGTAAGAGGTTTTTTAAATTAAAAACACTCCGTAGAAAAACAGTGGGAAGTGTACAAAAACGTATTCACAGAGCACAGTGAAAAGTCAACAGGCGAAAAGGATATTTACAAATAAAAATATACGCAACTTCTAAAATAAGTCTCTTTTCCCTCCGCTTTTACTCTAGCTCTTGCAGCCCACGTTACCTTCTCTGTAACAGAGTCACGACTGCCATGGGGCAGACAAGCACACCTTTCGTCCGCTGCTGGCCCCTCCCACATTACAAATCAATTATCCTAATAAAACACTATATCTACAATACATGAGTATATCCCTAGGTTCATGATTTCATGGATTTATACTTGTACATTCACACAATAAAATACATTTCAAGCTACACATACATGTCCATGCAAATGAGCTGTGAGCCACACGACCCACAGACAGGTGCATTTAATCCACTGGCTCCTTATGTCCGGGTTTGCCAAAACGCACCATGCAGACGCCACGACCTCGCCAGCACAGGCGAGTGAATGACACATGTAACTACACCTTGCAACGCTTCCAAGTGTGACCTGAAGACGCGTTTACGCACGCCACATGTTACATACACAGTCCTTATCCTAGAAGTAGTCAATGAATGGGTTTGGGCGTGGCGCGCAGCCACCATGGCACCGGGCGCATCCTCACATGCGCCCCGTGGGACAGCGTGCTCAGGGACGGGCTCACCCCGTCACACGGTGCAAGAGCGGAGACCAAAAAGGTGTTGCTGCTATTTTAAAAGTTCTATACGAGCTAAATATGTAGAACTAAAATGTACAGTGCTCACTGCTCAACAAAAGTTTTGGACCATCGTCATGACAACATAAAGAACTTTAGTAATACTAAATCAAGAACATCAAATTAACAGTATCATTTTTATTTAATATTAAGAAAATAATCAATTGGAATAACGAAATAGTCCTTGTCAAGTCTGGACTTATTTAACCACTCTAGGAATACAAAATATATTATTTAATTTTAAACACTTAGGTGGTGCTGTAAACTGTACTACCTTGTTATACATCTGTTTTATTTTTGCTTCATGTGAGTTATTTATAATAAATATTTTTGTTAGATTTGTAAAAAAGTTGTATTTCTTGTTCAGCACTTTAAATCTGAGTTAAATTTCTAAGTTTGAATTACTGTAATAGGTTTATTTACAGAAAAAGCCAATATTACTGTGTCAATATATTGTTCAAAATCTACTGTATCGTATCGAATAGTTTCGTTTTAAAAATTCAGATATCGTTTTTTATCAAAATCATTTGCTCTCATATCGATACGGATTGTATCGTTCTAAAAACGTATTGTTACACCCCTAACACACACTGATACAGAAAAACACGCACACATAGACACACACAGACTGATACGGACACACACACACACACACACATACACGTTTTTGTTACCTGGTGGGTCCCTTTGACAGGGCCGTTCAGAATGGGACCCATAGACATAATCTTTTTTTACCAAGACTTTAAGTAATACAAAACAGTCAATAGAAACCAAACAACTATTTTAAAGGAATTTTATTTTAGATTTTGTTTTCGAATTGCAGTGATTCTATTTTTGACATAGAATTTAATGCCACTCCATGTCCGATGTCTAAGGTCATCTGGTGAGGCATTAATGCAGGCCAGGCAGTGAGACTTCCCAGGGACCTTTCCAGTCTGTATGAAAGGTGTCATGGTCTTCTCCACAGCCTTCACCTCAGATGCAGACCATGGCTTTCTTACACGTTCTAGGGAGAGAAATAAAAATATATTAGCAATATACACTCCCAGGGTGAGGACCAAGCAGCCTGGCTGTAATCCCCCACCTGGTACACTTACCAGAAGGGGCACTGCCACTACCATGGGGTGCATCTGGATGAATGGTTGAAGGTTCTCCGCTTGAAGTTTCTTTTAGCCCGTCCGTTTGTGAGAGGATCTCTACTGCTCTCCCTGTCGCACAGAAAATAAAAATACAAGTGGCCTTTAGGGGAAAAAAATCATACATATTTTAATAATATCAAGAATTACCTTCAGGCTCAATTTGTATCTGGTCGAGGCTCTTTCCTTCGAATTCCGTCACTCTTCCCTGCTCCATGGCCATCAACACTTTGCTGATTTTGGCCAGCTCCAGTGTCCCCTCTGGTAGTCTGTAATATTGCCTGTGGATGCGAATGTCATGGCCGAGGAAGTTGGCAAGTATGTCCATCTCATTCTCTTTCATATTGAGAACTGTAGACATAGTAGCTATGTGCTTTCTAAGTTTGGTTGAGGATAGCATCTCTGGATGCACCGCACCACATTCTTTGGCTACCTGGCGTAGGGAGTCTGATCCCCTGATGTGGGTGTCTGCGCCCGGGCGGGAAAAGAAGTATGGGTTATGGTCAGAGATGGAACAGGCCCTTCTGTTCTCCACCAGCACCTCCATCGAAGCAATCATTTCAGGAGTCAAAAGAACCGGCACTTTCCGACTTCTTTTCCCTTTAATTTCAATGCGTTGAAAATGCTGACACAGCTTTTTCTCAAGTTGGGACAGTCCCAGAGCAATGTCAGAATGGATCCCAGTCTTACTTCTTAAGGTAAAGGCTGTCAGTGGCATCTTTGAAACCTCACCTTCCCTTCTTCGATTGAAAATGATGACCTCACAAAGAGTCAAAACTGCCAGTTTAGACCAATGCTTAGACGTTGGCTCACTTATTAGGGTTTGCACATATTCAGGTCGACATACCTCAATATGTGCATGCATGGCTCTAACGTCCTCAGTCAGAGGGAGCAGGTCCGGAGTGTTCCACTTGGCTTGCCGGAGGGTCTGTAGGGCAGCAGAAGAAACACAGACGTCCCACCTCTTCTCAAAAAGCAGCCGGCTTCGTTGGAGGTTTTTAATAAATAGTTCATCAACACAATGCTCCATTTTTGAGTCACATTCAAGAATATCTGCTAGCTTTCTGAGGCTATGGCCGAGTTTGAGGGCCAAGGATGGAGTCTTGTATTGATTTGTTTCCTCATCATATCCAGCCACAGACCTGACTGCATCAATCACATGGTTAAAGTTGGAAGGAATAAAGAAATCCTTCATTGTTTTCAGTTTCCCTGCGGTTTTTGCTTCGTTAATTAACCTACCGACTTCTCTCATTTTCTGCCTAATGTAATCATGCTTTGTCTTATCATGCCCGTGTTTTAAGTACAGGTGCTCTCCGAGTCTCAGAATCCCCTTTTCTGCTTTGACAACACCCGTGACCTCATCCTGATGCATTGCCGAAATTAAAGACCACAGCTTTTTGCTGATGCCCTCCGGTACAGGCTGGGCTAGGGAGCAGAGGGACTGGACCCTACTTCTACCTGGTTTAGCCTGGGCATCTTTCTGTGAAAGCCGGCACCTGGCCACATGCCTCCACAGCGACTTTCGCTTAAGCAATGCCCCACAGTCTATACAGTGCAAAAACTCACTGGATTTAACTGGGCAATTTGGCTGTTTAGCTGGGACTAAAGTTCCAATGCCGGCCTTTAAAACCTCAAAATTGTGCTCACGGTTTCCACTATTCCTGATCAAATCAAACTGAAGTTTACGTGCTTTAGATTTCACAGGTAGAGCCAATGCTCTGGCTACGTCACTTTCATTTCCATGTTTTCTAGTCAAATGACGGGACATTTTGTGGCAGGACATTGAACAGTAGAGGCAGAAGTGTCTCTTGCTGTATACTCGCCCCCCATTTTTCTTCTTTTGCAGCTGCATGATAACAATCTTATTTGCCTTTGGTTCGTCACTTTCCGAGTCTTGAAGAAAAGTGTTTTTGATTTTTCTTTTTCCATACTTTTTTACAGGTTTCTTCTTGACAGTTAAATCGTCAGAATCTGAGTCGACTTCATCAATTAGGGACTCTTGACTAAGCTGCACAAACAACAAATAATTTGTAATCATTCTATATAACAATTTGAAGTCATGACTTGTAGTCAGCACTTACCAGTGGTTTGTAAGCGTGCGCTTCAGTGTGCTCCTCCATGATTTCTTGCAGCCTAATGAACCACACACTTGCACCTTTTTCTAGCCTGACACCTGATTTCCTCTGTTGTGCTGCTCCATGATTGGCTCCAGCCTGCTGGACTGAAATTGCCCCAGTGTGCCCCTCCTTGATATCCCGCAACCCACCACCAGGGTTCCGACACATAACACACTTTTTTCAGGAAAGTAAACCTCCAGGGGTCCTTTCCATATTTTTACAGAGACTGCATAAGGACCGTTAGAAAAGCATTACCCATTGATTATTAAGCTTGGACCAGTGGGGTCCGGTGTTCGGGCCCCACCACGTAAAACCAGTCCCCATGACGTGAGTGGAATCTCAGGTTATGGAACCCACCAGGAGTTGAAAACAAGTGCACACATATTCTCAAAGAATAAGGGTGGGCGCATTTCTCCCCGGGAGAGAGCGCATGAAATTTGTCTTGAAAAAGAGCAATGACAGGTCCCAGAACCAAGGGGAGTCCCTGGAGGTTTTAACCCCGAAAAAAGCCCTTAAATCCGGCTTAAAATAGGGCCATGCGGGTCCCAGAACCGAGGGGATTCTGTGGAGGTTCTATCCCCGAAAAAAGCTTAGAAATCCGGACAGAAATCCGGACATAAATGCAGCACTGGAAAGCCTGAGACCCAGGGGGGTCCTCTGTAGGTTTTAACCCCGAAAAAAGCCCTAAATCCGGCTTAAAATGGGCCATGCGGGTCCCAGAACCGAGGGGATTCTGTGGAGGTTCGATCCCCGAAAAAAGCTTAGAAATCCGGACATAAATGCAGCACTGGAAAGCCTGAGACCCAGTCAAGACCCTCACAACGTGAAAGGACTCAGGGCAGAAGAAACAAGCGTGTTACGGGGCCACTCCTACCAAGGATACCCCCACGTAACACAAGCCGTAGGTCATCCGTAGTCACAGGACGCCTCTCCCAAGAGCTCCTGACGTGGACTACCAGACCGACCACACACACAAATGTACCGCACCTGTAGGATGCCTCTCCCAAGAGCTCCTGCACCAGGGCGGAAAATAGACCGAAGGCCCCCCTCAGGGGAGGGACCCAACGGTCTAACTCAGTCCGCTGCACTCAGCACGGAATGGGCCACCGACCGGTCCGACACATCCGAAAGATAAGACCGGACGAAAGAGGAGGACGACGCCCAAGAAGCCGCACGGCAAACGTCCTCGACCGACGCCCCCCTGAGAAGGGCCGTAGAGGCCGCCATCCCACGCGTGGAATGCGACCTGAAACCCACCGGGGGGGCCAGACCCTGCGTCTGATACGCCCGCCGCACCGCCGTGGCGACCCAATGCGCCAGCCGCTGAGCCGACAGCGGGGCGCCCCTGTTCTTGGGGCCCAGACACACAAACAGCTGATCACCCGACCTGAATGACGACGTCATGGCCAGGTAATGCCTCAGCATTCTGATAGGACACAGAAGGTGCTGCCGCTCCTCCTCGGGGGAGGCATGCGGCGGCGGGTGGAAAGCCCTAATCCTGATGACTCTCGACCTAAAGGCCGACGTGATGACCTTGGGGAGAAAAGCCGGATTGGGCCACAATTCCACCATGCCGTTGTCCTCTCCAAAGGACAGGCACGACGCATGGACGGAGAGCGCACACAAATCGCCCGCCCTCTTAGCAGACGCCAACGCCAGTAAGAGGGCCGTCTTAAAGGCGATACACTCGGGACTCGCCTCCGCCGCCGGTTCAAAAGGCGGACCCGACAGCCCCCTAAGGACCACCCTGAGGTCCCAAACCGGAGGCGTTCTCTGGAGCGGGGGCCTCCTCCTGCGCGCCCCCCGCAGAAAACGTTTAACCAACGGGTGAGAGCGGGCTGTGAACCTCCCGAACCCGTCGTGACCCGAAGTAATGGCTGCCGCAAACACCGCCAAGGTAGCGACAGCCCTTCCCTTGTCGAAAAGCTCCTGTAGGAATCCCAGGACCCCCTCCAGCGGGCAACACCTGGGATCCCAGGAACGGGAATCGCACCAGACACTGAATAGCCTCCACCTCGTGGCGTAGGCCCTCACGGTGGACGGCGCCCTCGCTCCCTGAATAGTCTCCACCACCGCAGGGGGAAGACCCAGATCTACGAGGCTCCGCCTCTCAACCTCCAAACCCAGAGCCTGCGGCCGATTATCGGACGTGAAAACAGGGCTCCTGCCCCCTGGACTAGAGCCCCCGGCTCGTCCGGGAGGGCCCAGGGCTCCATCACCGCCATGCCCCTCAGGAAGGGGAACCACCGGGCATGCGGACTGTCCGGAGCCACCAGAATCACCGATCTCCTCTCCTGTTCGATCCTCCGCAGCAGGACCGGCAGGAGACGCACCGGTGGGAAAGCGTACAACAGGCCGCCTGGCCATGGGTAATGAGCCAGAGCGTCCACGCCTAAAGGCGGCTCGTCCGCGGCCCTTAAGGCGAACCAGGACGGGCACTGTGCGTTCTCTGCACTGGCGAAAAGGTCGACTACTGGACGGCCGAACCTCCGCCAGATCTCCGCAGCTACCCGTGGGGCCAGGCCCCACTCGTCCTGGAGTGGGCCCCCCCTGGACATTCTGTCGGCTCCCACGTTCCGGACCCCCGGGACGTGGCGCGCCCTGAGAGACAGGAGGTGAAGCGCCGCCCACAGCAGCGTCACCGTCGCCATGCGATGGAGAGCGGGGGACCTGGTGCCCCCCTGCCTGTTCAGATAGGAGACCACTGTGGTGTTGTCTGAGCGCACCATCACGTGTCTCCCCTGCAGCTGAGGGGCAAAGTGCAGCAGTACTCTGTGTACTGCCTCCATCTCCAGCAGGTTGATGTGACGGGCTGAGTCCGACCAGCAGCCTCCTACAGAGCTCTGGCCGAGGACCCCGCCCCATCCTTCGAGCGACGCGTCCGTGAACACCTCGACGTGAGACACAGCGCAGGCCAGAGTCACTCCGTCCCGCAATAGACCCGGAGTGAGCCAGAACCTGATGTCCGATGCTGCCCCTTGGGGAACCCAGATCAGCCTCCCCCCGTCCCGGGAGGGGTGAAGCCTGAGGCGCGAGAACCACCTCTGAAAATTTCTCATGTGGAGCAGGCCTAGCCGCACCACAGCATGAGCCGCTGCCATCATTCCCAGCAGGGACCTGAGGCGCCGAGCGGGGACTCTGGGGCCCGCCAGAACCTCCCGGGCCAGACGGGTAATACTCATCCGTCTGTCCACGGACAATGCAGCACGGAATATCACAGAGTCTAGCTGCAGACCGAGGTAAACCATGCGTTGGGCTGGCTGCAGTTTGCTCTTCTCCCTGTTCACCACAAAGCCCAGATGCTGTATGTGGGACAGGACCCAGTGCGTGTGGCTCACGGCCACCTCCCTGGATGGGGCCAGTATTAACCAATCGTCTATATAGGTTAATATTCTTACCCCCGCACGTCTGATCGGCTCCAGAGCTGCTTCCACACATTTGGAAAAGGTGCGAGGCGCGAGTGCGTACCCGAAGGGGAGACGGCAGTACTCGTAATTCCTCTCTCCCACTGCGAAGCGCAGAAACCTCCTGTGTTCTGGCACTATGGGCACGTGGAAGTATGCGTCTGTCAGGTCTATGGAAGTCATCCAGTCTCCTTCCCTGACACACTCGAGGAGCTGCCTTGTGGACAGCATCCGAAACTGCCGCTTGGAAATGCACTCGTTTAACACGCGCAGATCCAGAATGGGACGCACCCCGCCTGATTTCTTTGGCACTAAGAAGTAAGGGGAGTACAGCCCCCTGGTGG